GGGCACTGAACTCAAATCTTTCCAAAGCTCAGCATCTAAAGGATTGCTCGTTGATTTTACTTTACAATGATGTTTTATTGAGCAAGCCAAAAAAACCCGGGTTTTTCCTTCATTTCCACTATTTGATACACGTGTTTGCATGGACTTAACTTTCATTTTGCTGACAATACTTTTTCAGTGTCGAGTCATTTGGTCCTAACAGCAAAATTCTGGGTGTTCGGTTGCTTTGTTTTTGTTAGTCAGAAATCCGGAAAATATAAGCTGCTATGTTGTTCCGGTCGCGTATGATGAAGGATCAGCGCTAGTGCTATAAATGTTTTTGTTTTTTTAGTTGCTGTTTGTTCTTATTTGTTTTTGTTTTCAATAAATGATCTGTTTTAAAAATCTATAGAGTTGGCTCGCGTTTGATAAAGTTCACCAGCCTCTATTCAGTGAAAAGAGACAGATATACTTTCCAAACAAAGGAAGTCCTTCAGTGAGAAATAATGGAGCATTTTGCAAGGTATGCCACGATCTGTCTTAGTAAAATAATAATTTTGATGAGATGAACATTTACAGGCATAAGCTGAATGCAGTATAATATTTTAAGACGATAAAACACCTGAAATAAGTGAAGTAGTTTATACTAGTTTATTATGATGTGACAATTGCTGTGATTTCCAGAATAGATAATATTGAGATACTTAAACAATCCTATTTTTACATTCTTGTTTATTGTCGTTTTTAGGATGTCAAATACATCAAGAGTTACAGTTTTGTGCCTGTTATTATCGTGTCGACCAACCATACACAAAGACAGGATGCAAACAAAGCAGTCTGCGATGGAGTTTCAGCGTGGATCGAGGTTAGGCGGTTTTTCACTCATCTAAAATGATCTGTTCATCAAAATTTCATTTCAATATTTTTTCTTCTGCAGTACCTAAACACGACAGGATTTCGTGTGTGCGTCAAGGAACTCTACACCAATCAATACGAACCAATGACAATCAGCTACTTGGTATTGGCAGGTAAATATGTTATCGGGACAACCGGTTGGTTCCACGATGTATATCACATGACATATCAGATCAGCTCATATGATCATGTGGATATTGCCTCGCTGATCAAAGGCGACAATTACTGTTCCTTCCACCTAACATCTTCCTTGACGATTTCTTTGTTATTTGTTATTTATATGAGTGAAAATCAAGCATAAATGTAACTTATACCAATGTAATTTCAGATATATGTGATCCAGGATAGAGATACTTCGATGGAGTTTGTTTTCAGACCAGCTCTTCGTGTGACACTTGGTTGAATGCTGAGAATCAGTGCAGGTCATCACAGTCCCACCTCGCAACCATCAGATCTCAGCGAGAAAACGTGTTTGTACAACAACAGCTCAACGGTGCCAAGGGTTGGTTTGGCTTCAATGACAGAAGCGTTGAAGGAGATTTCCGATGGTCGAGTAAACTGCGAGGGAACTGGACCTACTGGGAAGTCAATCAACCTGATAATGCAGGSAATCAAGACTGTGTTCGCACTCTTGGTGTTCATCACGACTACCGCTGGGACGATGCCTCTTGTGCTGACTGCCATAACTTTACTTGTGCTAAAGGTGTGTTACCATCATCATTGTTGTTTACTTCGGATAAAACGATTTCTGTTTCCTGTRGTGATAGCATAAAGAAAATGAGAGATCTTTTGTTTCAGTTATCTGAAGCCCATCATTTTGCACCATCATTTTTCTTGAGGAAAACGATTGATATGTATAGCTTTAAGAGCTAGTCTCTGTAACAATCAAACAAATTTGGAAATGAAAATTTTTGACCTACCCTGAAACTCTGTGTGCAGGTAGACCACCTTGGGGGGTGCACAAAAACACCCCATATTAGGGTCGTCAAATGCATTGTTGCCATGGAAACGGCAATTTAATTTGTGGTCCTCAGACCATCAAATTAGCCCGGAATGTTCTTTAAAAATTGAGTAAATTTAAGAAGCTCGTTCTCCGTTGTTTTTCAGGCTTTTTATTTCAAACTCGCTCCGATAGTAGAGCAACATATCTAGTTTTAGTCATGCACTTTTGGGAATAAACAAATGAAAATTCAAGGAAAATTCGTGGTATTGAGGAGAGACGGTTTTGACTATTTT